TACTGATCACGCTGCCTTGAAGTACTTGCTAAAGAAGAAGGATGCGAAGCCGAGACTCTTGAGATGGATTCTTTTGCTTCTGGAGTTCGATCTGGAGATTAAGGATAAGAAAGGGATTGACAATGGTGTGGCTGATCACTTGTTAAGGATGAAGATCGATGATGACGTCCCTCTAGATGACAGCCTACCTGATGAGCACATCTACGCTGTTGAGGTGATCGACTACGGCGAGCCCCTGCTCGCAGATGACGGAGTTCGATCGAATGCTGGTGACGGAGGTCGATCGAATGGGGATGACGGAGATCGTACTATGAGCTGTAACGCTGTTGACCATCCCAGTTTCCCATGGTTTGGAGAGATAGCTAACTACCTCGCTGCTGAGCATGAACCTACAGGATCGTAGGGAACAAGAAGAAGAAGTTCCTGAGAGACATCAGGCGCTATTTCTGGGATGAGCCATACCTGTACAAGCACTACACCGATGGTGTCTACAGGAGATGTGTAGCTGATGAGGAGATATCTGGGATCTTGTTCCACTGTCATAGCTCATCTTATGCTGGACCCTTCGCCCCATACAAGACAGTATCCAAGGCACTGCAAGCTGGCTACTGGTGGCCTAACATGTTCCGAGATGCACACAGGTTTGTGTCCAAGTGTGATGTGTGCCAGAGACAGGGGAACATAAGTAAGAGAAACGAGATGCCACATAACTTCATTCTGTGTGGGGAGTCGACTTCATGGGACCCTTCCCATCTTCCTATGGAAATCTGTACATTTTGGTGGCTGTCGACTATGTATCTAAGTGGGTAAAGGCTTTGGCCAGTCCTACTAATGATACAAAGGTCGTGATGAAGATGTTCAAGTCGGTGATCATCCCTCGATTTGGTGTGCTGAGAGTTGTTATCAGTGATGGAGGTTCCCATTTCATCAATATAACCTTCGATAATATGTTGAAGAGGCACGGGGTGAAGAACAAGGTGGCGACTCCTTATCATCCCCAGACGAGTGGTCAAGTAGAACTATCGAACAGAGAAATCAAGAACTTTGCTGATACCGACATCACAGAGAGGGAATCTGTTCCTCTTAGTGATCCATCTCCTGCCTAATGGGCATTCAAGTCAAGCTAGTGACTTAAACCAAGCGTTTGGTGGGAGGCAACCCACTAGTAAGTGTACATTCTCTGTTTTCAATTTGATTTCCTACTAATTTTGTTTTCTTTGTTTTGAAAAAAATAATAATAATAATAATAATAATAATAATTAGGAAACGGGTCGACCCGCCCACAGATCGACCCACCCATCTGGTCGACCCGCTCGACCCGCCCGACCCGGCCATTGTACACACCCACCCGCCCGCCGACCGCTGGGACCCACCAGGTAAGTGATTTCAGGTAAGTGGAAATTCGATCACTCATTTACTCTCTCTCACCTCACCTCATCCAATCGTTCCTATCTCCCCATATCTTATCCCCTAAACTTTTCTTTCCCTCTTCTTCACCACCGAAACCTCTCCCTCACCATTTCTTCTCTCATCTCTTATCTCTCACCTCATTTCTCTCTCGCGCTCTCTTTTTCTCTTCTTCTTCTCTCATCGCTCACTTTCACTCTCTCATCACTTCACCATCTCCACCTCACATCACCTCTCTCGTGCACTACACACACCTCCATCTTTGACGGAATTCGGTCGACACCCTCGATTCACTCAACACACTATCCATTCGATCGAATAGTTTCTCTACCCCACTCGATTGAGTGATTTCTGCATTTTCCCTTGCACCGATTTGGCATCATGAGGAGTGGAAGGTAACACCTCGAACTCTTTTACTTTTTGGGATTTATGTGGTTCATAATTCGCTATTCAAGATGGTCTTTTGATTGTGTGTTCTTGCGCCTTAACGGAACTTAATCACGGTGGGTCAGTGCGTTCGCTAGAGCTTAAGATAGTATTCGATCGATTTTGATGTTGGTTCGTTTGGGACTCGATCGACTGTGTTGTGCTTACGAACTCGATCAGATACTTACATTGCTTGTGTATAGTCGACAAAACTAGTTTGACAGCGATTGTTTCGATCGTTTGAACCTCGTTACTTGATTGACCGCATTTTTTGATGCCGTTAGAGCTTATGTCCAATTTGATCGACCGCATTTTTGGTTATATAGAAATCGATCGATTTTGATGTTGGTTCGTTTGGGAGTCGATCGATTCGTGGTTGATAGTCGGTCGAATTGGATATTTTATTGCTGGGCTAACTTGTTCTATCTTTTCTGACTTTCAGGAACAGAGGCGATTACTCACGCCGGCGTGAAGATATAGCGAGAGGGAAGAGACCCGTCGTATCTGACGACGACTTCGTGGAGGAATTGACCATGCAGGATGCTCCTTTTCCTGAGACCCTGCGAGATGACGAGCCCGATGATACACTGACGGGGATAGAGATGCTGCGTCTCCACAGCCTCCTCGACATGAGGTTTGGCGGGACGCGGTATGCAGACAGAGACACGATGCAGACGCTCCGCATCACCGAGGACGTCGATGAGATGTTCACCAACGTAGGGATCAATCGACTTATGTACCAGCAGCACGAGTCTTATCGGAAGGCGACTTGCCTCTTACTCGCCGCATTCACAGACGATCCTTGCGACGCCGGCAAGTCTACACCTGACGGCAGCGACGGATACATTAGCTTTTGGGCTACGGGACGGAGGCACTACCTCTCATACCGTGAGATCGACCGATCTCTCTCTCTACCGCCGGGCAACAGCCACCGTCTCGACGTCGACCGCGACGAGATGACCGCACTCTGGGGACGATCGCGTTTGGGGATTACTTCTCCTTAACCGCGAAGTCCTCTCACATCAGGAGCCCGCCGATCCGCTACTTTCACAAGGCGATCGCCAACACGCTTTTCTCGCGCCAGGCCACCGGGAACGTCACAGAGACGGAGATGGCCATGATCGACGTGGCACTCACAGGCATCCTGTTGAAACTGATCAACAGGACCCAGCTCAGAGGCAGCAGATCACACGGAGGCATCACGCTCGCGCTTGTGAGCCAGCTCCGCTCTTACCAGGATTGGGCGTCGAGGAACAGAGGCATCCGGCACAAGTGCACATTGCGGATGTGCGGCTTGGTCACACCTCTCCTACGCGTCGTCGGTTTCATACCTGATTGGGAGGAGGAGGTCGCACCACCCGAGGGGCTCGAAATCGAGTACCTGAGGAACAGCGTCTTCCTGCAGAAGACATCAGACGACATACAGCTCCTCTACCAGTTCGTTCACGTTCAGCTCGGCGCTTCCCGCATGTTACTTCCCAGCCCCAGCTGGACCACGATCAGAGGAGGGTCCAACGTCGAGTTCAACCCACCTCAGTCCGCTCTTTACACTGGAGATCGACCGTCCGTCAGAGACTACGCCACACCTCCGGCGACCACACACCGCGGTGATTGGTCACACGCAGAGCTTGACACCACGCAAACGGACGAGCTCGACCATCTCCACTTCGTGGGCTACACTACCACTGCCAGACAGAGCGCCGGACTGAAGGCGGCTCACCAGCACATCAGCATTCTCCAGCGGTGGAACAAGGCGCAAGACAAGATCACCAGCAAGCTCAAGAGCAAGGTGAAGAAGATGGCCGATCAGATCCGTGCCATGCATGACAAGCTGAGTTGTGTTGCCTCAGCTTCAGGAGGTGTATAGAGGACCGCAGTCGGTCCACGCCAGGCGGACCTCTCCGAGGATGACGAGCCACACCACGACACCACTGGAGGTCGGCCACTACCCCCTGACCCGCCACGTCACTCCTCTTTCGAGCCGCGTCAGCAGCGCAAGAGGCGCCACGGAGAGCGACAGACTGCGAGACCATCAGGCGCACGAGCTGACGCCGACTTGCCATTCAGGCGATGCAGCTCTGTCTCCAGACAGACGCCTCCGACGGATCATCACACTCCGCCGACGAGGGCTCCACCGGACCAATATGTGCCGTACAGCACAGAGCGAGCTGCGCCTACCACCATCCCTCCATACACGCAGGAGAGCATGCAGGAGGACCTCGACGACCTCATTCACGGACGTCCCTGATGCTCTTCTCACCTCCACTCGACCGATCACCCACCACTGTATCATTCCATTTTGCCTTTTCTTTTTTCTTTTATTGAGTCTGTTTAACTCTCTCTTTGATTTATTTTCACATTGGGTCGGTGTGAAGTAAGTTCCGGGAAGGGTCTTTGTGTTTACTAACGTCTTTTTCTTTCTTTTGTTTTCTGTTTCACCTTGAGTCATTTTGATGTTTTCTTTGAGTCAGGTTTTATTGAGTCAAAAACTTGTTGGGAATAATGAACTTATCTGATGAAACCATTTGTGCTCTTGAATTCTTTCTATCTAGTGACCAATTTTGCAGGGTTTGTTATGTGTAAAAAGCTGGATTACTTTTGTGTTCTTTGCACTCTGTTCTTTTGTGTCATATATGCAGATATGTGCAAAAACGTCGGAGAGAAAGGTTCGACACAGCTTCCCAACCACATTCAAGACGAGTGTTCATCTATAACACTGAGAATGGGAAGTGATGATGGAGAATGGGCATGCCTGAATCGATCGAACTGGTGGTCATTCCTTGGAGAAGCACGAATACACGGTAACATTTACGAGCCTTTGACACGAGATCAAACCGCTGTTTTCACAGTTTGGAGAAGATTTCTGAACCCTTGTTTTGCTATTTTCGTATTTTGATTCAATGACATTCAATTCAGTATTTGTTTGCTGTTTCACCATGTCTGAGTAGTCACCTTGCTAGATCTAGGTTTTTCAAAGGGATTCATGTGTTAACTAGACTGAATACAGATAGGGCTTTCATACTGTCTTCACCACTGTTAAACTTACTGCTTAGATCGACTGATCACTCGATCTCTGATCTCAGATTTACCTGTTCATCAAAAGTGAAATAAGTTGTTAAAACGAATTGTGGGGAGCGAATCGTCCTTAGCCTGCGAAAGTTGATGCTAAGGCGATTCGTGAACATATCGAACTTGTGCGCATTGCTTGTCATCAATTGCTAGATTCAAACGACAGTTTAGACATCTAGGTTGTTAGACAAAGTTGTTATTATCACGACAGTGAATTGACATATTGTTCTGTTAGAGTTCGAGACCTGTTCTTTATTTGTGCCATGAATAGTTGTTTGGTTGTTAACCGTGAATCTCCTGCGAATTGCCTTGGTCTAGTGCTTGTTTTATTAAGTTTACATCAACGTTTACAATCCGTCACTTGTTACCAAATCAATCAATTTTGTCTTAGCTCTGTTTTGAATTTCTTAGATTCATAGTGTAACGCTGGTCCTCTGGATTTCGAACCCTTTATATTACAATTTCATCACTGTTAATTTGCAGTAGAGAAAATGATCTATTTCTAGTTTATCAATACTTCCGCGATCTGTGCACTTGCAGAGGTCTAGGAGTTTGGTAAAACCTGACTCACATCAAGTTTTTGGCGCCGTTGCCGGGGACTGCAGCAGTACCTTTGGAACTCGACTAGGATCTAGTCTAGAACCTTTTCCTGTTTTACTTGCTTTTGCTTTTGAATTTTTAGTTTTTGATTTCTTTTCTTTGATTTTTGCTTTTGCTTTGTTTTTCCCTTTTGATTTAACTTGTTTCCTAGACTCTTTTCAGGTGCATGACTAGGAGGTCCAACAAGGACAACCTAGTTGAACATCCAGATATAGACAAGCTCGAGAAGCAACTTAGGAAGCAAAAAGCCCAAGAGATGGCCGACGAAGCAGCTCGCGCTCACGCCGCTGAAGTGGCGCGCGCTCAAGAAGAAGGACGAGATCCACCTCCTCCTCCTCCTAATCCACAAGACCCTGCTGGAGATGTGAATGTGCAACCTCAAGCTGGAGCACCAAACAATCGGAGACTATGACTCTGCCGATGCTTTCTTCATGGATAGAAACCCTATCCATCCACCACTTCCTGCAAGGAATGACTATGAGATCAAGCCTCAGATCATAGCATTGGTTAGACAGAACCAATTCAATGGCCTTCCAGCTGAGCATCCCTCTTGATCACATAGAAAACTTTGAAGAAATTTGCAGCACTACAAGATCCAATGGAGTCTCTGCTGACTACTTAAGTGCAAGCTCTTTTCATTCTCTCTTGGCGACAAAGCTTCAAGATGGTTGAAGTCTCTGCCAGCTCACTCCATTACCACTTGGGATGAGTACAAGGCCGCTTCATCAACCACTTCTACACCAAACAAGATCAATTTCTGTAGGAACAAGATCTCCAACTTTCGCCAAGCCAACAATGAATCTTTCTATGAGGCGCTAGACCGATTCAAGGAGTACATTAGGGACTGCCCTAATCATGGTTTCAATGAAGGAAACCTATGGAACATCTTCTATCGTGGCATAGACCACAAGTACAAGCTTTCATTGGACACTGCAAGCAATGGAAACTTCATGACCAAGACTGTTGATGAAGCTAAGGTTCTTATTGAGAATCTTGCAGCTAGTGATTGTAACAACTGTCCTGATTATGACCGCTCAAGCCGCACCACTACTAGCTCCCCTGATTCTTTTCAAATGACTGAACTCAAGAACATGATGGCTCAAGTTCTTAAGGGACAGCTCAAGCATATCAATGCAATAGAAGGGATGAGTGATGCTAATGAAGACCCATCAAGAGAATGCATGGGAGATTTCTCTAATGAAGCCAATGAAGAAGATGTGAACTACATTGGAAACTATGGGAACAAGGGATACAATCCAAGCTATCGCCCAAACCCCAACATGTCTTATAGAAACCCCAATGTGGAGAATCCTCAAGACCAAGTGTATCCTCCAAGGTATCCACAACAACAAAGACCTCCTTACCAATCTCAAGGAAGTCAATTTCAGCCAAGGCAAGGATATGAGCAGAGATCATCATATCCGCCCAAGGAGCCATATGCTTCTTCACCAAATCAAGCTCCTCCAAACCAACAAGGTGGGAGATTTGAAGGAATCCTCCAACAGATCATGGATGGCCAGAAGAGAAACAAAAGAGATGTATGAGAAGATGGACACTTTGTTCAGCAATCTCAACACCAAGTATGATGCTGTTGCCACTCATGTGAAGAAACTAGAGACTCAAGTCACTCAAACTATGGAAGCTGTTAAGAGACAGGAAGCTGAATCCAAGAAGTCCTTTTGCAACTCAGCCGCCATAGAAGAAAGATTTGAAGACCAAGTTCCAGAATGGATGCTTTCAAAACCTACTGTTGATTGCATGATTTGGCCTGAAGAGAATTACCCAGAGAGAGAGTCCAATCGAGCTAGAAAGAGAAGACTCTTCCCAAAGATTATCCCCAAGACTGATAACTCAGGAAAGTTTGTTGTGCCTTGTATCATCAAAGGTAACATTCTTGAGCAATCTTTGTGTGACACAGGAGCCAATGTGAACATCTGATGATAGGATTTGTGTGTGGATGTGAAAAGATATGAAATGAGATGATGGAATGCAATCAGTGGTATATGATGAGGTGGTAAGATGCAAACACAAACACAGTCAACAATTCCCTTTAACCATGATAGTTGATGTAGTACAAAGGGTTATCAATCCAAAATGGGAAACTTGTCACTCTTTGAGAATATGAAACAACCAGAAGTCAAGCAAGCAGTTATAGATTTGAAGTAACACTAACAACCTAAATGAAATGAAAAGCAGTGCAATAAAAGTAAACAAAGCAGTGAAGTACAGCTCGACCAAGACTCGAGTCGAGTCAGAGCAAAGTACCAGCTCGATCGAGTTTAGGGTCGAGTTGAGACAAACAAAGCTAAAGGTGACGACTTTAACAAGATAAGAGAGAATTAGGGTTCAAGACAGGGTTTTGCAATCAAAGGAATCTACACTTAATCAATCTAGCTCTTAAAACTCCTTGTATCAAGGCTTCTCTTGATATTGGGCTTCTCAATGCCTAGCCAACCCTTTCCCAAGGTGGAGGCTATCAACCAAGGAATGATCTCAGAAACAGGGGGTTAGCCAGTGAGAATCAAACCTTGGAGGCTATAGGATCATTGCCCAAACTAATCCATCCAACCCCTTAGACCTCTATTGTCTAGAGCAAGAGATATTGGAGCTCTTAGTGGATCTTTTCCAGCGAATGCCATCACTTTCGTGTGGGGAGTCGCCTAAGGACTTACAAGCCAGGGGTAGTGGTCATGTAGCCTTAAGATCTATCCAAAAGAGAGAGAATCTAGATTAAGACCATAAGCTAGAAGGATTAAGCATATGAAACCTCTAATCTATCCCATCTCAAACCCTAATGGGTAACTACTCACTACACATGAATGTAAACACAAGCAAATGCAATAAAAGAGACATCATAAGAAAGAGGAGATGAAATTAAACAACTTTTATTGAAATAAGCAAGTGCAAATACAAGAGAGATTATCCAGGATCTAGGATTCAAGAAGCAAGAGCTTCAAGAACACAAAGATGGGATTAGATCTCTAAAAAGTAAAAGACAATAAATTAAAAGAAACTAAAACAAAATAATCTAAAGCTTGGTGGTTTTTTCGTGGCTTAGAGCCTTTAAATACAAGAGGATTAGGTTTAGGGTCAAAGGAAAGTCAAGGGGGAAGCAACATTTTTCGGGTTTGACTGTTGACTTCTCAGCTCGATCGAGTTGAAGCTTGGCCGGTCGAGTTGAGGAACTCGACCGGTTGGTCGAGTAGACGGTCGAGCTGGTCTTCAAGATGGCTTCTCCCTTCTTCCTTTGCGTATCCAGTTGAGCTGCTTCCATGTGCCAAGTCCCTCCATGCTCCTTATGTCCCATATGCTCCAGAATGCTCCAAAAGACCTATTTCAAAGGACCAAACATGCATATGTATGCAAATGCAACCTAAAACTAACATGAATGCATAAGAAGAGAAAAGGAACAAGATATGATGCAAATGGAAGCTAAAACTATGCAAAAGATGCATAAAAGATGTGCTAAAACTATGTAAAATGCAAGTACATCAACACCCCCAAACTTGAACTTTGCTTGCCCTCAAGCAAACAAATAGAACAAGAAAGAGATGAGGTTTGAAAATAGCTGATTCAACACTTAAAAACATGTCCTCAAAAGCGATTTGCTAAATGTCCAACTTAGAGATTCTAGAATGCAACAAGGTGAGAGATATTCATTAAGATTTAACCATGCTTATCAACATCAATCCCACTTCACAGTCACTCAAACAATGCATTCAAATCAGCAAATCCCTTTAACATTCATTAAGCAAAAACAGTGAACCAAAAACATGCAAGATCAATCAACTCATTTGGTTTCAAGGGTTTATGGGTTAAGAGACAAAGAGGGTCTCTTTTGTATGGTGGTTTAGTAACAGGGATCTCTCAAGAAAGTGGCTTTGCTTTGGCAGAAGGCTAAGTGTTAGAACCAAAGATGATGCAAGAACAGCAGCTCGAGCCGCCTAATCCTAACTCGATCGAGTTCAACACTTAGAGCTTTTTAGAACAAAATCCTAACTACCCTTTTTGGCATTTCGCCTTTGAAACTGAGGAGCTTTGCTCACTTTTCTTTTAAGAACTTCCTAGGGAGAGGCTTCTTGAGGTAACATCTAGCGGTTTGGGATTTTCTAAACACTTAGGGAACTTTTCTTTCCTTTTTGGACACTTGAGGCTTTGCCTTCTTTTCATTCTACTTAGAACCCTTTTTACTTTCCTTTTTTAACTTCCCAAACCTTTACTAGACCCTTTTTAAACACTGCCAACTCCCTGGACTTAACCAAACTCTTTTTCCTTTGGGTTTTTCCCAACTTTTACCACTTTTCTGGTTTTTACACCCAACTCGATCGAGCTCGAGTTGGCACCCCCAAACTTAGCCTGAAAACAATCCCAAGAGAACTAGACAACTAGAACTACTGCCCCTGCCGGTTTAAACACAACACCTTATGCTAAGCAAAGCCAAGAAAGGTTCTCACATTCGCACAAGAGATAATAATGGGGTTTGAAATGAAAAGGCTTAGGTTTAAGGTGTGGTAACTGTCTCAAAGATAGAGATCAGCTATCTGGACAAGCAAAAGGGATATGAAAATAGGTAAAGAATGTCCAGATATGTATGTGGTAGCCATGAGTTGAAATCAAATGCAAGCATTGGTAATTAAAGATCAAGTTATGGTTCAATAATAGGGAAATGCATCAAATCACAGCAATGGTTGAATGAGATGTGCATGCAGTGATATGATCAAGATAAACATGGTTCTTGCTGCTCAATCAATCTCACCCTAATGCACAAAAGAATCTAAAAACAGGGCACTCAAGAAATCGCAAAAGATGGACAAGTTTTCAAAGTCAAATCAACAATGCAAGTGAAAAATGCAATCCTAAACAAGTCTAACAAATATGAATGCAAAAAGATGAAAATATTTTTGGATTTTTTGAAAATTTTATGATTTTTTTGGTTTTTCTATGCAAAAGATAAATGAAAAACTAAGAACAAAGAAAACAAGGTTAAATCATCTCTTGAACCCTCCCCCAAACTTAAATCACACAGTCCCTTGTGTGAGAAAAATTAGTGAAAGATTCAAGAGGGCAAAACCAAGAAAAAACAAGAACAAATGCAAGAAAATATGAAATGGTATATACAAGGGTTGGTGTTTGGATACCTCAGTGTCCCCCAAAGAACTGGGAGACTAGGTCGTGGTCTGGAGATGGGAGACGGCCATCAGGAGCACTCCATGCAACTGGGGTTGCCTCTTGCGGCTCACTCGATCGAGCTTGTGGCTCCTCTTCCTCCTCTTCTTCATCGTTGAAATGTGTGTGGCTTCCTTGGCCTTGGTGGAGCATTGGTAGCTCGTACTGTCCATAGGGGTTCCATCTACTCCGGGGAGGCTCCTGGTAAGGCATGGGATCGTATTCAAATCCCGGATCCTCGAACTGGGGCTCCTCCAGGTCAGCTCGACCTCAGCTCGATCGAGTTGAGTTTCCTCTGTTTGGACTCGATCGAGTCCGGTGGTCGAGCTGGAGCGTCTGGCCTTGGAAGTCTTCCTCCTTCTCTGCGTGTTGTCTTCTCCTTCCCTTGGCTCGAAAGAAGAGGCTCTGTGAGGCTCTTGGGCAGGGAGCCTCCTTGAGTGGTGAGGAGTGACCTACTCCTAGGGAAAGTGGGAGCCTTGGGGCCTTCTTCTTCTTGCTTGAAGAACCAGAAACTTTCTTCTCCAAACTCTTGATCTTGCTCACCATCTTGTCCATGGACTTTTGCATTTCCATGGCTTTCCCTTGCCACTTGTTGAACTTTTGGAGAAGTCCAATCCTCTTGTGGCAGCCACAACAGAGGGGTTCATCCTTGGAGCCTCATACTCCTCAAAGTAATAGCACTCAGGCTCACCCAATCAGCGCTTTCCTGCACTCCATCTTCAGCTTGAGCCTCAGCTCGATCCTCAGCTCGATCGAGCTCGATCTCTTCTTCTTGCAAATCCGCTTCATGCCCAACCAAAGTGTACACAGGGGGTCTGAAGTCAATGTTTGTACCTCCTAGGACCGTGGTGAGCTCAGGGTTGGGCAGAAGAAGCTTGGAGAGTCCAGCCGTGGGGTGGGTGAACTTGAATTGGAATCTCCCATCCAACTCCTTGTGCTCAATGAGGAGGTTGGTCTTGCAAAACTTGATGTCCATCCAACCTGGTGGAGTAGACCTTCTCTTGTCCACTTGAACTCCTGCTGCACAAAGAATTGGTGTGATCACCCCTCCAACACTAAGCTTTCTTCCTCTTTGGTGCCTAGTGTTGTAAGCTGTGACCTTGTAGGCTTGGAGCTGCTCAAGGAGAGGCATGAGATTCCCTGCGTGTGCCCTGTCTCCTCTGATCTTCTTCCCATCCCTAGTTCGTGAGATGATAGGCTTGATTCCCATGGTAAGGAGCTTCACTTCTCCCTCATTGATTGTTCCAGTGGCTTTCCTTGCAAAGAAGGTGTTTGCAAGAGCCTTGTGGACATATCTAAGCACAGGACTTCTGATCTGGGCAGCCTTGGACCTTGAGGAAGAGTACCCCTCTTCAGCTATTGTAGCCCATACTCTTTGGAGTTCTTCTTCCTTGATGTTCCATAGGTTACCTTCTCCATAGGTGAACCCAAACAGTATCTCAAGCTGCCTAAAGGTCACCATCTTCTTCTCTCCCTTTGCTAGGAAAGTTATGTACCCCCAGCCTCGGTCCAACTCAGCTCGATCGAGCTCATCAAACTCGTGATGCTTCATCGACGCCAAAAACTCACAAGTCAACTCCTTGTAAGACTCCATGCGGTGAGAGAAGAACTTCCCCAATTGCATGTTCTTGAGCACCAACTCCACATCCTCAAAGATACCAAGATCTCTCATGGTGTCATCGTGTGGGTGCTTAGTCTCCACAAAGTCCATGGAGAAGAGAGCATTGTAGTGCTCTTGGTACATGGGGAGCTCATCCTCCTCTTGCTCTTCCTCAGCCTCTTCCATTGGCTCATCTTGGTTCCCCTCTTGGTCATCTTCATCAACCAATTGGTTCACCTCTTCTCCTTCCTCATCACTCTCAGTTTCCTCACTGCCTTCCTCATTTGGAGAGCCATTTCCCCCTCTTGAACAAGGTTCACTCCAATCTCAAACTCCCCTTGCTCACTCTCACTACTTATAGGGTCATTCCTCTTCTTGGTTCTCCTTTCTTCCCTCAGCCTCTCACTCTCAGACTGTTCCTCAGAGTAGACATACTCCTCTGCATCAGATTCTTCCATCCTCTGATCCATCCTCTCAAATCGGCTTGCATCTTAAGCCTTGTCTCTCTTGCATTGCTTGACTCACCCTCAACCATTCTCCTCTGTGAAGCGCGGCTTCCCTCACTGTTTGTCATCCTTGTTACTCTGTTTCTTCACTAAAGTACCTGAAATGCATCAAAGATTACAAAGAATTAGAGTTGTAATGATCGGTTTGGTCAACTCGACACCCAGCTCGATCGAGTCAAAAAACTCGAGTGACAAACTCGATCGAGTTGGGTGAAAACAGAGTATAACCAAACCTAATTCAAGATTAAGAGCTGGAAAAGATGATAATCAACCAAATTGAACCAAGAACAACTAGTAAATGGAACAATGAGCAACTATAGAGAAGTACTAAGCATCTTAACCAAAACCAAACTCAAATTCAATCCTTCAAGCACATGCAACAAGTTTAAAGGCAAAACAGAGGTGAGGTGAAACAAACTAACAAGATTATACAGCAGAGGCGAAATATGAGGGCAATTACTCAAGAACAAGTCCACAAGGGACACATGCAATCAAAAATCAAAGAGAAACAAGCAATAGGAAATCGAGATGGTAATGAAGGGTTTTAGGGTTCATACCTTGTTGAATGATGAATTAAGAGCAGTAAACTAAACCCAACGAAACAGTGAAGCACAAAGGAAATCGCAAAAACTTAAGAGAGAAAGAGAGATTCGAAAAAAATTTCTTGTGGTGAGAGAGAGGATGAATTTCAGAAATTTTAAGATTGTGGGAGAGAGAGAGGTGGATTCGATCGAGTTATGGGGAAGAGGGGTGTTTGAGATGTGTGGTTGAGATTAAAAGATGAAATAAAGAGGGAACAAGAAACTAGGGATTCTCTGATCAAAATTAGGGTAGTGGGGGACCAAAATCAGCTTGTGGGACCCACTCCCTTGACCAAGAAAACGGTTATGAATTTGAAATTCAAAAACTTACCTCGGTCGAGTTGTGTAGCTCGATCGAGTTGCCCTGGTTTCTAGCTCGATCGAGCTATCGGTCGAGCTGGCTCCTTGACACCTAAACTTAACTTATTCAAAGGTTAAAACATAAAGATAGATAGAAATTGCATAAATAGAGTATGTACAAGGATAAACATGGGACTTCCTCCCAAGTGAGCTTGTTTAAGGTCCCATAGCTTGACCTTTACCTTTTAGGCATTGGTTGAGCTAGTCCCACCATCAAGGGTGATAGTGAGGACTTGAGACAGAAGCTCCTTTAGCTTGGTTGGGTCCCTGGACTGTTCTGAAGTCACCAAGGCCTTGGCTCTAGAGAATGGCCTTGATCTCCCCTTGTACCTTATCTTGTACTCAATCTTCCCATTTTCAAACTTGGTGGGGAACAAGGTCATTGTGAGCTGAGATGGCTTGACTGAAGGGGCCTGAGCTGGTGGATCCTTTCTTTTATCTCCTGGTCTTGCCTTAGAGGCTGCATCCTCCCCTTCTTGTAGAGCCCTTCCTAGTGGCTCATCAAACAAAGCTTGAAGGCTCTCTTCATCAAGCACACAAGGGGCTTGAACAAGTCTCTCAGCTCTTGGCCTATCAGATCGTGGTTTCTCAACTCTAGCCCTCTCAAGACGTGGCTTCTCAATCCTTGGTCCTCTCTCATCCTAATCCTTCCCAACTCTTGGTTCCTTGTCAATCCTTTCCTTCACAACCTTTGTAGCTCCATGACTCTTAGAACTGAGA